TCGCCACGAATGTGCCAACTGACCCATGCTGCGGAGGAGAGCGCCTTCCACTGGCCATCGGGCAATCACACCCGCAGTCGGCGCACCTGTCCAGAGCCCACGCTGGCGCAGCAGAGGTCCAGCAAGCTTGCACTCAATAGACAGTTGGAGCGTTGGCATTGGCCGGACGTGGAGCCTGAGAAGCATCACCGCGTCCTCGCCCGGCACCCCTCTCTGGGCCATTGCCATGCGCTGGAAAGGCCAGCTGACTGTGTCATGGTAGTTGGCAATGTCACTGATGGCCATAGCGCCCTCGTTGAACCGGTCGAGGCTCATCTCCACCACCTGGCCCGCCGCGAAAGTCAAGTCGAGGATTTGACGACCCTTCGATGCCGCAAGTGCCAGGACATTCGTGCCCTGGCGCTCGCTCCATTCATCTGCCGCCGGCTGGGTCCGCCCCCCCCCCCCCCCCCATGCAGTAATGGCCAATCTTGCACAAAGCGTTTTGGGGGATAATGGCCCTCTTGTTCTTCGCCTCGATGGCACCATCGATTTTGCCCTTGACATGCCCCCGCAAAGGCACAGCGCCCCATTCCAAGTGATCAACCAATAACAGGTTCAAGGCCGCGGCAGCAAAACGAGCCCCTGCGTCCGACCGCAAAGCAGCTGGGCAGAGGCAAACGTCGTCCAGCGAGATGCCCCGACGTTCGCGGCAAGCGAGATTTAAAGCTTCCTTGGTCTCTGCTGCACCCAAGGGTTGCGCGCCGACCTAGCAACCCTGGACATCCATGTCTTTCCATGGCGCAACGTTCTCGTCGGAGCTCCCCCCCCAGCGGTGCCCGAACTCATTCTCGCAGGCCTCCGCCCACTTAGCCTTGTCCACCGCGATGGGCCCGTCAGCCTTCATGCGATGCATGTTGAACAGTCTGGAGCGCCTCCGCCCAGTAGTACGGCGGGCGCGGCACGCTGCCGCAGTCTCGATATCTCTGGATTTCTGACGCCACACCTCCCTCATATCATGGAAAAGGCGCCTCAAGCCAGCACTCTGGCCCGGGCCCAAGCAAGCACGAATTCGCCGACGGAGGTCTTTGATCTACGTCGGCTAATGCATACGTCGCATGTCCCTGCAAGTCGCTGTTGACCGATGCCGCCCCATGACTTCTGAAACGGCGCCGATGATGGCCTCGACAGTGGTCAACTCCCCTAGGTCTATACTGTCCAAGTCACGGTCGTACGCCTCCTGGTCTTCGCAACGCCATGTCCGGCGGCCAGATGAACGAGATGACACGCCTGCCGGCATGTGTGCAATCACCCAGCTGTGGTCGCCTGGACTGCCCTCCCAACTCGAATGAGCAGGCACCCCGAAGCCGCTTGATGTAAAACAGTGGTCTGTCCACGTATTACCCAGACCATGCGATATCAGCGGCGCCGCCGTCGGGCTAGCACAGGAGAGGCCTAGTCCCGATGTCCGCGACACTAGGTCATTCAACTGAACTCGTTCGTCATCAGTGGCCTCTCCAAACTGCGCGTTTCCATTCGAATTGAAATCACCAATCCGCAACGAAAAATATGCAGCACGATGTCTAATGATATATGCCACTCTTGGCCATGAGCCCCATGAGTAGTAACCATTATGAAAACTGCCTCCCCCGACTCAATCAAAGACGAATGCAAACAAAGACATAAATCCACCTTGCCAGACCGACCGTGCCACGGCATTTCGCCTGTCACACAACTCGCAAAAGAAGCCTTCATAACAAGTTCCATCGCCCAGGAACCCTCCCATGGATTGTGCCGATACACAGTATGACCTTCAGGAGAGATGTGGGCGGAGTCAGCCCCACCACGAACATAGTCAGCTTCCGCAATGGCCAGAAAAAACCATGGCCCCCAAACCAAAGTCGCAGCTTCCCCCAAGAGTCCGGCAATTTGCTCGCCCGTCCTCGCCTTCCCCTGAACGTTCACAAACAAGACAGCAGGCCGGCCACCACCGAGTACCCGCAGCCACTGGTCTCACGCACTGATCTTCGCCGCAACCTCCTCCAAGCCATCGTCGGAGTAACGCTGAGGACTTTCTGGAAGCCAGCGCGACCTCCCCACCCGCACCTCCCCCACAGGGTCAGTACCAACGTAAACCTTTTTGCTGCGCCTGCACTCCTCCACCGTCTTACCCTGGCCCGCCTTCGCTTCCAAAATCTGGATATCCGTGAAGGCCCGTCTCATGAGCTTGCCAGGGCGCAGCTCCTCCCTGGTCTTCTTCACATCGAACCAGACCGTCTTCTGTTGCCCCTCAAGTTTGATGGACGCCTCCCGAATCTTCTCCCGGAGGTTCTAGCCCACCTTCGGATCCTTGTAGATTACCTCGCAGGTCGAGCCGAACGCATAGCCAGCCTTGGATCTGGAGCCCCAATTCGCTGAAGCACGTCACGACAACGCTGCTCGATTTCATTGCGGTGCGTATTCCAACCCAAATTGCCCATGGTAAAACTGGTTCGCTGGCCCAATGGAGTCGCCGACAAAGTGCTGGCTGTAACCGAAGCCGTCCCCGAGGCCGAAAAATGACGCCCGGCCCTCACCTTTTCCTGCAACTCTTTGAGAACCTCGTCCATCTTGTTGATCTGCTCCTGGACTTCCTTGGGCACTCCGCCAGACGCCGTAGCTCCGGCACTCGGCATTTGCGACTCCAACTGTTGAATGCGCTGGTCCTGCGCAGCGAACTCCTTGGTCAAGTCGGAGTTGGAAGTCTCGAGCGCCACGAAACGCTCCTCCACCTGGGCCCCGAAGATCCGCAAAGTGGCTTCGTTCGATTGCGCCACCGCATTTCCCAGCCACGTCAGCTGCTGGTCGTTGAAGGGCGCCCGTCTCGTAGGTGATGCTACCCGTCCCGACGCACCAGAAGCGTCTGCCTTCGACCTCCCCCGATCATCCTCCTTGCGGCCCTGCTTCTGCGGGGGGGATCTCAAATCGGGAGCGAAGATGTTCCGAATAGTCGATCCCAGTTGATCGCCGATCTTATTGAAAGCTGCCATACTGAGTATTCGCCTTTGTAATACAGAAACAAGCCCTGCACTGGCCAACAGGGAATGAAACAGTACGAATTGAGCGAGACTCCTCCTTCGCCTCCTTCTCCTCCTACTCCTCCTCCGCCTCCTCCTCCTCCTCCTCCTCCTCCTCCCCCTCCTCCTCCTCCCCCTCCTCCTCCCCCTCCTCCTCCCCGTCCTCCTCGGCCGTAAAGCCTGGTCAAACATGTGTTCGAGCGAGGAGGTAAACCTGCGCGCTCTCGAGGCGCCCCCTCCTCCAGGGGCCAGGCGATGCGCTACGACCACCGTGGCGGACAGCGTCCGGGCCTGGCTCCGACCAGGTGGGTGAGGCCGTGGCCTCGAGAACCTGTCTTGTCTGGATACATGCAATGCGAAACACATCAAAAGCTAGGAGGAGAGGACGAAAAATAATAACAAGTGGCACGTGTGTGCCCAGGCTCATACAAAAAAACTAAAAAGGGCGTTTGAAGCAGGAAGACACCATGACTGCAGGATCGGAGATGGAGAAGGGGAAGCTGGGGCGGCGACGCCAGGGCGTGCCTAAGAGAAGGGGAAGAGGCAGGAGGTGATCGCAGAAGAATCTAAGATCGAGGTTGCACTCGAGCGCAAGTGGGGTTGCCACACCTTGCGATGTGGGTACCAGGGCCCCCCAGGAAACCTCAGGAGGCCCGACTCGGATACCGGAAGAGGCTCCAGGAGGCCCCGGGATTGTGTGTTGTGTGTGTGTGATGTGTGCTCTGTGTTGCGCGTGTTTTCTGTGCGTTGTAGGTGTTGTGTGTGTGTGTGTTATGCTTGTCTAGCGTGTGATGTGTTGGGTGTGATTTGGGTCTCTGTGTGTGCATGTCGTTCTGAGGCCCCAGGAGGCCCCAGGAGGCCCCAGGCGGCCTCAGGAGGCCCCAGAAGACCCCAGGAGGCTCCAGGAGGCCCCAAGAGGCTCCAGGAGGCCGCAGGAGGCCCCAGGAGGTTCCAGGAGATCCCCAGGAGGCTCCGAGGCGGGGTCTGGGGTACCAGAAGGTACACAAAGCCCGAGGAGGCCCCAGGAGGTTCCAGGAGGCTCCCAAGAGGCTCCGAGGCGGGGTCTGGGGTACCAAAAGGTACGTCGGGGCTCGATTTTTGGAGGATGTCTCAGGCGAAATCGCCACTCTCTGAGAATCGGGGTCGAAATTATTGAAATTACAATGTGTTTTTGAAGGTTTTACGTGAGAATGTTGAAATTCCCATGTGTTGTTGGACCCTGACGTCACGATTTGCGTGAGGGGTGCCACCGATTTTCATAATTTCGAGGGTGTCCCTAGCGAAACGGTCCAAAAAAAACGCGAACGCCCCGGGTACGCATTAATCGCCTCTGAGTTCTACTCCCTCGGAGAGGTGCGTATGATAATAATACCTATAGTACGAATAGTAGCATCATTACTGCTATGGTTAGTACGATCATCATCTTAAGAATGAAAATACAATTACGAATGATCATGAAATACTTAAACCAATCAACTATATACCTACACAAATAAACAAGTAAACAAAACAATAAAACAAAAAAAGATTACCATAAAAATCGTACTACGACTACTACTAATAATAATAATAATAATAATAATAATAATACGACGACGAATAATAATAATGATAGCATCAGACAAGAATGATGGAAATAGTACCGAACAACAATGTTCATAACAAATAAGATGAAAAAATGAGACTGGGAATACAACTAATCATCATCTTACTAATACTGAAAATTGAAAATACGAATAAGAAGACGAATAAGAAGAAGGAGAGGAAGCCTTTGGTGTCGGTGTCGGCGCGGGCTGGGCGTGTCGTCTGGACTTCCTCTGGGCGCTCCCTTGATGGGTCTGGTCCTCCTGGGGCCCAGGGACGACGCAGGAGCTCCTGGAACGGTGGCAGACTGCTGGTGGTGCAGACTCGTCCGGTGGGGGTGGCCGGAGCGGCCCATGGCGAGGCCGCGCGCGGCGGCCCCTCCTGCTTTCCGCCTGCGGGGCCACGTTGCTCGGATCCAGCTTCACAGCCACCTTGCCACTGGACGAGCTGCTGCTGCCTGGCCAGCCCACGCCGAGCCGCCCAGACGCGCCCCCAGAGCGCTGGAAGACCTCGCCCACGCACTCGCGTTCCCCAACATGCAGCCCGACAGCTCGATCGCCCCTACCTACCGCTTCTCCTGCTCCTGCTCCTGCTCCTGCTCTTAAACCTTCTCCTCCTCCTCCTCCTCCTCCTCCGCCCTCTCCTCGTCCGCCCTCTCCTCCTCCTCCTCCTCCTCCTCCTCCTCCTCCTCCTTCGTCGTCGTCGTCGTCGTCGTCGTCGTCGTCGTCGTCGTCGTCGTCGTCGTCGTCGTCGTCGTCGTCGTCGTCGTCGTCGTCGTCGTCGTCGTCGTCGTCGTCGTCGGTCGTCGTCGTCGTCGTCGTCGTCGTTCGTCGTCGTCGTCGTCGTCGTCGTCGTCGTCGTCGTCGTCGTCGTCGTCATCATCATCATCATCATCATCATCATCATCATCATCATCATCATCATCATCATCATCATCATCATCATCATCATCATCATCATCATCATCATCATCATCATCATCATCATCATCATCATCATCGTCATCACCATCATCGTCATCATCATCACCACCACCACCACCATCATTATCATCACCATCACCGACATCATCAGCAGCATCATCAGCATCATCATCATCATCAGCATCACCATCAGCATCATCATCACCATCATCACCATCTTCATCACCAGAAACATCATCACCACCACCACCATCATCGTCATCGTCATCATAATCACCGTCACCACCATGGTCATCATCGTCAGCATCAGCATCAGCATCATCAGCAGCATCATCATCATCATCACCATCAGCACCACCACCATCATCATTATCATCATCGCCATCATCATCCTCAATTTCATCATCATCCTCATCCTCATCATCATCATCATCATCCTCATCATCATCATCCTCATCCTCATCCTCATCGTCATCGTCATCATCACCATCACCATCACCATCACCATCATCATCATCATCACAATCATCACCATTCTCATCACCACCACAATAATCATCATCATCAGCAGCAGCATCATCATCATCAGCATCGGCATCATCATCATCCTCATCTTCATCCTCATAATCAGCATCATCAACAACAACATCGTTGTTATTATCAGCATCACCATCGTCATCCCCACAACCGTTCCAGGCGAGATTATCGGTATTTCGCGAGGCAACAGTCGTTGCAAGGCCCCCCTGAAGAACTGGGGGCCCAAGAACTGTCGGAAAGACCGCGGCCAGCCCAGACGGAAACACCACACCGCACCGCTCGGAGCCTGCCCTGGACGCGTGCCTGCCCAATTGGGCCGCCAAACGGGAGAGGGACCGCTCTGCAGCAGCGGCCGTGCTGCGGTTTACCCATCCGACCGAGGCTAGCGAAGACGAAAGCACCCCGCCGCTCAGAGCCTGCCCCAGACGTGTCTGGCGAGCCTGGCCCGCAACAGCCAGTGCCTGCTCTGCACCCCAAGTCATGCCCGGGTTCACCCAGATCGACTGCAAGGATGCGCTTCCTTGATAAAAAACGTACTACTCTGACCACTCCACAGCCCACCGCCAACTCCGCGGATCGCCACGTCAATCACGTTATTCGCCATCAGGGGCAGCGGCCCTGGCCTCCCGGTCGCTTGTGGAGGCACAAAGGAAGGAATACCAAATCAATCCAGAAGTACAGGTAGAGCAAGAAGCAAGAGGCAGGAGCTTCCTGGGCCCGAGGGCCGCTGCTACGTGACCCACACGGGAGCATGCACAACAGCGGGTCCTTGCTGAGATAGTAGAGGCATCCTATAGGGTCGGAAGATCGAGCCGCAACGGAGATACATCGCCGATACATTGGCGATACACCAGCGACGCCGGCGATGCATCGGCGGCGCGAGTTGAGAAAATCGGGCTCCACATCGAGCCGCATCGCCGAAGATACGGTGAAGCATCGGCGATGCGTCGAGATCCTTCGACCCCATCTACTCCGACCCCGTCTGGGAGGCCTGGATATAGGAGAACGCTCGTCACACCTAAAGCTGTACGCCTTGGGATAACTCGCAACGCGCGACCGGTCCACGGAGGCAAGCACGCAGGCGTACCACGCGGCACGTCGCAGCAAGCAAGGCACGGTGCTCAGACACAGACAAACGCCTTCGCTGCCAAGGGGGGGCGGCCGATAGATGCGATACAGTCGGGGCGTTGACCTAAGGAACCCTAAATAAGGAACGAGGCCCCTCTTGTCCATAAGTTGAACTTCAACTTCCCCTCAAAAACATCGGGATAAACTGAGGCAAACTGCAAAACAACTAAGGAACACTGAGCCCCTTTCCACCGAAAAGGGTTTCTTCAGCACCCCGACTGTAACCCACGCAACTCTGAACAATATAGCCACGATCCCCTAGCAACGTTTACACTAAAGGACGCTTGCGTCGCCTGTGAAGAGCTGGGCGCGGATTGCGGATGTCTGGCTCGTGGGCACCCCACAGGCGACACACGGAGTGCATTCGATAGATGCCCCGTCCAAAAAAATGGAATCGACACCCCCGCCGAAGCCAGACTTATCCACACACCTCCGCGTTTTCCTTGCTCCTCGCATTTTCGTGCGCGATCGCTGGTCCAAAAAGTCGAATAATAGCATGCCAACCAAGCCCTGGTATCGACCCCCTCTCATCGTCTCAAATTATACCACAGCGGCGCACATGCGCTGATCTAAGAGGCCAGCTCTCTAAGAATCCCCCCCAACAAAAACTATGCAGGGCACATCCGCGCGGCATCGCGTGCGCCTGGCAGAACCATCCGAAAGCCATCGGCGTTCCAACTATGTCACGAAATACCTACTCACAAAATATCAGCAAACCGTTGCTGCTGTCATGAAGTTGCTAGGTTTGGGCGCACGGACTTGCTGAAATCGTCCGAGTAGCACATGTGTTTGAATATCCTGCTAAACGGAAACATGCGGGCTAACACTTTTTTTAGGTCCCAACGGGCCCCGAGGGGGGTCGCAAGGAGGTCCCGCCTTCAGGGTCGGCGGCGGCACTGGCCGTAAGGCCTTTGTAATACGCTTTATCTTTTACCCACACCCACCACCACCGCCACCCCACACCCCATCGAGGTTTGGGTGACAGGGTCCCCATGCGCATGCTGTGGTTTCAAACTTGTTGCACACGATCGCCAATCCGAAACGTCTAATAACATCGTCCAAGCCAGTCCTCGCACGGATAACCCCTCATCCCTGTCATATGTGTATAAATATATGTACAAAAGTGCACATGCGTTTATCTAACAAGTGCGTGGTGTGACAATCCTTGGCAACGTTGCCACACACCGAAAATTGTGTTTGTCGCGCACGCTGTCGTATGAGATCATGCGGACCCCATGACCAGCCAACTAAGTCAAATGATACCGTACGGTGCGCACGCGCGCGTAGACGCGCTCGCATATCAAAATCAGTAACAACCCTCGGTGTTCAAAGCATGTCCCAAACAACAAGACAAGCACACATATCAAACGCATTGTTCATGTCAGACCTGTCAGAGTTTCTGCGCGCATGCACTTCCTCAACATTATCATCAGCACCGTCGCCATCATCATCGCCAGCAACACCATTGCCATCGTCACTATCAGCACCATCATGTTCATCACCATCGCCGTCGTCATTATCACCACCGTCCACCGTCGTCATCGACATCACAGTTGTCGCCGCCCTCGCCAACAGAGCCATCACCATCATCATCACCGTCATCGTCGCAGACCTCGTTGTCGCCATCATGACTCACCCGCCCGAGTCGTGCATCTGCATGAAAGTAGTCCTCGCGTCACTGCTCTAGTTGATTTGTACCAATCATTTGCGGGCAGGTCGGTGGAATGGTTGATCCATCATCGGAGTTGACAGCTTCACGATGTTCCAGCTAAGTATACCCATACTCACCGTCAGCATCATCATTGCCACCGTCAGTATCATCACCATCACCTTCTCCGTCATCATGATAATCATCTTCCTCCTCCTCCTCGTCGCCGTCATCGTCACCACCGTGTAGTCCTTATCGTCGTCGTCGCTGTCGTCGCCCAGCTGAGTTGTGCCAACAAGTTGCGGGTGGGCGGGCGGGAAACGCACACTCTATGCACTGGCCCTGAAGAGAGCTCACTAGACCTCCGACCTCGAGCCCGCCCTTATCCGACCCCGAAATTCGTTTGTTTTTTGGTCACACACCAGCCCGCGAGGAACAGTGCGGGCCGACAGGCACACCTTCGGACACGCCCCAGTGAGGCGTAGCTCATGGTACGGGTCGCGGGGCCCAAGCTCCTGGCCCCAGGATTCCCACGGGGCTCCTCCCAATGCTGTCCCCTGCTTACCCTTGGCGGCGCGCAGAGGGGGGTGGGGGGAGGGGGAAAGGCTTCGTAAAAGGCGGCTGCTTCTTAAAAGGCGCCGGCCTTACATCTGTAGATAAGGCCCACGCCTTCTCAGAAGCAGGGGTGCCTGTAAGAAACCTTCCCCCTCCTCCGAACCCCCTTCTGCGCGTGGCCGATGTCCTCTGCGCGCCGCCATCGCGCTCGCAACAGAGGCCCCGCCGAGCAGCCCAGGCTAATGAAGGGGCCCAGGGACACACAGATAAGTAGACACGAATCCCAGGACTCCCCCCATAGTTTCACACAGATTTTCTGGATTCTCGTATTCCCCCTCACACTTCCCATATTTCCCCCGACATTTTTCCCTGCGGATCGACGATTCATTGTGTCTGTGTGTGTGCTCGTTCTGCCTCCTGGGCTGAGGCGAGCCGCAGCCTCCCCACGTTTTTACACATTTTCTGGATTGTCGTATTCCCCCCCGCCACTTTCCACATTTTCCTACATTTTTCCCTGGGGATCGACGATGAATCGTGTCTCTGTGTGTACTCTTTCCCCTCCTGGGCGACAGTGGGGACCCACACCAAGAAACACGCCTGCTTGCCCCCAGGGTGCCCTGGGTTTCTTGGGCTTCGATGGTCTTGCTGTGGAAAGGGCGACGCCACCACGCCAGAAATCAAGGGACGTCCTGGGGTCTCAGGGCTGGGTATCTTGTGGAAGGGCCCCTACTGTAAGTTGGCGGTGCGCACAAGGGGGTGGAGGTGGGGGGGAGGACTTCTTAGCAGGAGGCCGCTTCTTAGAAGGCGCCGGCATCACATATACAGGTAAGGCCCCCGCCTTCGAAGCAGCAGGGGTGCTTCTAAGAAGCCCTCCCCCCTCCCCCCAGCCCCATCTGCGCGTGGCTGACTCTTGTGGAAGGCTTCTTGTGGTCGGGCCCCTACTGTAAGGCGAGCTGCGGCCTCGGGCCCTCGCGGATCGACAGGCCGCCCCCCGCTCGCCTCCCAAAGCTCGCGTGGCGGCCGCACGCGCCCGTGCGCCGCGGGGGGCGCGCGCGCGGCCCGGCTGGCCAGGCTCTCCCGGCGGGGCAGAAGGCAGCGAGCCCGCGCTCAAGGCGGCGGCGAGGTCCTCCTCCTCCTCCTCCTTGAGCTCCTCCTCCTCCTCCTCCTCCTCCTGGAGCTCCTCCTCCTCCTCCTCCTGGAGCTCCTCCTCCTCCTCCTCCTTGAGCTCCTCCTCGTCCTCCTGGAGTTCCTCCTCCTCCTCCTCCTCCTCCTCCTCCTCCTCCTGGAGCTCCTCCTCCTCCTCCTCCTCCTCCTCCTCCTCGCGTGCGTCCTCGAACTCTTCCTCTTCCTCCTCAAATGTAGGAGCAGGAACCAGCTGCGCATGCAAGAGCGCCTCACGACGGAGCGAAAGAAAGAGGAGAGGCCCTTGCAGCCGCCGTGGCAGGTCGGCCCTGCTCAGGCCTTGGAGAATGACTCCATGTCTGATCCGCTGCATGTATAGATGAAGAAACAACGGCATCAACATAGATTTTTGCCGCTCCGCGCGGATTTCTTGGAACTGCGCTGGACCCCATTCCCTGGCGCGCTCCGCGCGCCAGGGACGGCGCCAAAGGCGCCGCCAGGGGAGGGGGTGGCCAGCGCGGATCCAAGAAATCTGCGCGGAGCGCCAAAAGTCTATAAACGCCTACCGCCAGTCAGGGGACTACGACAACAAACTCCGGCTACACAAATTGATCAGGAAAGCTGGAAGGAAAGATCGTGCGGCTTGGTTGGATAATTCGGTTTCCAGTGGCAATTGGGATGCGGTCCGACACCTACGGAAGCCAGCGCCCCGCAATCACGTGGGGGTAAAGACTTGAACGGGAACCTCTGCGACACCTCTGCTGGACCAGACACCCTTGCCGAGTACTTCGAGGAAGTGCAATGGAGAGTCTGCTTCGCCGATGTGGTCCCCACGAACTCCGAGAGGCTTGGGGCCACTTTGCCGATCAACACCGACACGTTCTCCTCTAACGAGCTCCAGACGGCGATCAAGAAGATGAAGAATAGAAAGCAGCTGGGCTAGACGACGTGCCTGCGGAATTTTGGAAAGTCGTTGCTGAAGACACGCGTGCTTGTGGTGCACTCTTACACGTATGTCAAGCATGTTGGGAGACGAAAAATGTTCCATCCATGTGGAGGCGAGCGAATGTCATTACCTAACAGCGAAGACTGATAGGTTTCTATTGGGGTCAAAAGAGAGCACATTGATTCCCCAGGGGGGTCTGGGCGGGTGCCGGGAGAGTCCGGGGAATCCGGGGAATCCGGGGACTCCCCAGGACTCCTAAAAATTCCTATAGATTACTGGGAATAGTGTTCCCAGAACACCATTCCCAGGCCACATTTTGAATGCCCGGAGCCAACTGTAGGCCACTTCGTGTTCTTCGCGTTCCCAGAACACCATTCCCAGGCCACATTTGGAATGCCCGGAGCCAACTGTAGGCCACTTCGTGTTCTTCGCGTTCCCAGAACACCATTCCCAGGCCGCATTTTGAATGCCCAGAGCCACCTGTAAGCCACTTCGTGTTCTTCGTGTTCCCAGAACACCATTCCCAGGCCACATTTTGAATGCCCGGAGCCAACTGTAGGCCACTTCGTGTTCTTCGTGTTCCCAGAAAACCATTCCTGTACCATGTTTTGATTGCCCGGAGCCAACTGTGGGCCACTTCGTGATCTTCGTGTTCCCAGAACACCAGTCCTGTGCCATATCTTGAATGCACGAGCTGAGGCAGGCTGAGGCCGAGGCGGGCTGAGGCCGAGGCAGGCTGAGGCTGAGGCCGAGGCACGCAGAGGCAGGCTGAGGCTGAGGCAGGCTGATGCTGAGGCTGAGGCAGGCTGAGGCTGAGGCTGAGGCTGAGGCTGGCTGAGGCTGAGAGGCTGACGCTGAGGCTGAGGCAGGCTGAGGCTGAGGCTGAGGCCGAGGCAGGCTGAGGCTGAGGCTGAGGCAAGCCGAGGCAGGCTGAGGCTGAGGCTGAAGCTGAGGCAGGCTGAGGCAGAGGCTGAGGCTGTGGCTGAAGCTGAGGCAAGCTGCGGCTGAGGCTGGCTGAGGCTCAGGCTGATGCAGGCTGAGGCTGAGGCAGGCTGAGGCTAAGGCTGAGGCAGGCTAAGGCTGAGGCTGAGGCCGAGGCAGGCTGAGGCTGAGGCCGAGGCAAGCCGAGGCAGGCTGAGGCTGAGGTTGAAGCTGATGCTGAGGCAGGCTGAGGCTGAGACAGGCTGAGGCTGAGGCTGAGGCAGGCTGAGGCTGAGGCAGGCTGAGGCCGATGCCGAGGCAGGCTCAGGTAGGAATCCTTAGGATTCCCCAGGAATCCTTAGGAATCCATAGGAATCCCTAGGAATCAGGATTCCTAAGGACCTAAGGTTTCCTAAGGATTCCTATGGATTCCTAAGGATGCCTAAGGACGCCATAGGAACCCCTAGGAATCCTTAGGATTCCATTGGATCCTAAGGCCGTTGCCACTGCGACTGTCATTGCGAATGCGACTGCGACTGCGAGAACAGCAGAATTCTACAACTGGATTCCCACCTGAATCCTAAGGGGAATGCTTCCAAATATGCTTATACTCATCGCTGTTAGGTTGCTTCGCCGGGATAAGTTGCTGTTCAAGAAAGGGGACGCTGTTTTACCGAGTAACTACAGACCGATATCCCATCTGGCAGTGGGCTACAAAGTATTGGCCTCGATGCTACACAAGCGACAACTGGATGGCGGATGCGAACGAAGAACGCGGGAATCTCAGTTTGGTTTCCGCCCAAAGCGCGGCACTTCAGACGCATTGATGCTTGTCCGTAGGATGGTGGATGCAGCTCACATGAACAACCGTGGAGGCTTATGATTATTGCTTTTAGACTGGGCGAAAGCTTTCGATCGCCTGAAACCCGACAGCATGTGCGTGGCCTTGGGAAATTTTGGACTGTAAGCACAAAATGTCAACATGGTGCGCGCAATTTACGCAGAGCGGTATTTCACTATAGTCGATCATTGTGGGACTTTTTTCGAAAAGGAAGCAATCTGCAGGTATCGCGCAAGGGTGCCCGCTAAGCCCCTGCTTGTTCATCGCTGTTCACACTGTGATGCTGCACGACGCCCTGGACACGCTGGAGCTACAACCCGTGTACGCGGATGATACTCTCTCGGTGTCGCAACATCCTGGGATAATTCAACACATACTCGAATCCATTGTTACGGCAGGTCGCAAACATGGCATGGAACTCAATTGGGAGAAGACGCTGCAGATGAACATTTCTTCAAGAGGCAAAATACGGAGACCAACGGGAGAAAACGTCAAATCCGTGCGGGAGGCAGTTTATTTGGGCGGGCTGATATCTTGCGACGGCAAAGCTGGGAATGAGTTGTCCCGGAGGCTGGGCGAAGGAGCCAATATATTCAAGCAGCTGCAAATGGCATTGGCCCACGCCGCCACTGGATGAAATAATAAATACTATAATATATATATATATATATATATATATATATACACACACATACATATATATATATACATATCTACATATGTATATAGTCCGCATGTGTTTTCACGGAGATCTTATATCCTTTGGATTCAATATGGCTTCTCGAAGGCGAGAGAGAGATCGATTGGACGCTTTTCATTGCAAAAGCATGCGGACGATATTGGGTATCCCGCCCCCGTTTATTTCCAGGGTCGCCAACTCCATCATGCTAGACAAAGCAGGACCGAAGCCACTCTCTGACATATTCGCTGACAAGCAGACGGCGCTGTACACCAAGATCGCAAGTGGAAGTGATTCGTGCCTGGCGAAATCTACACTTTGCAACGTGAACGGCTCTCCCACACAATGGGCCTCTCGTAGAAGGCGAGGGCGGCCGCGGCAGCGATGGGCCACATCGGTCTATGAGTTTTTCTCGTAACTATGGTCAGGATCCCCACTTCCTCCTCTTCCTCCTCCTCCTCGTCTTACACTCGTGCGCTTATGCTTTCTGCTTCACAATCGTGGGGCGTTTTGTTGTCCGTGCCTCTTTCAATATTTACCTAACAGCGAAGACTGATGGGTTTCCAGTGGGTTCAAAACATAACATCTTAACTCCCCAGGGGGGTCTGGAAGGGTGCCAGGAGAATCCGGGGAATCCGGGGACTCCACAGTACTCCTATAAATTCCCATAAATTTCAATTGATTCCTACAGCTCGTGTTCCCAAAACACCATTCCCAGGCCACATATTGAATGCCCGGAACCAACTGTAGGCCACTTTGTGCTCTTCGTGTTCCCAGAACACCATTCCCAGGCCGCATTTTCAATGCCCGGAGCCAACTGCAAGCCACTTCGTGTTCATCGTGTTCCCAGAACACATTTCCCAGGCCACATTTTGAATGCCCCGAGCCAACTGTAAGCCACTTCGTGCTCTTCGTGTTCCCATAACACCATTCCTGTACCATGTTTTGATTGCCCGGAGCCAACTGTGGGCCACTTCGTGTTCTTCGTCTTCCCAGAACACCATTCCCAGGCAACTGTAAGCCACTTCGTGTTCTTCGTTCCCAGAACACCACTCCTGTACCATATTTTGATTGCCTGGAGCCAGCTGTGGGCCACTTCGTGATCTTCGTGCTCCCAGAACAACAGTTCTGTGCCATATTTTGGACCCGAGCTGAGGCAGGCTGAGGCCGAGGCAGGCTGAGGCCGAGGCAAGCTGAGGCTGCGGCTGAAGCACGCCGAGGCAGGCTGAGGCTGAGGAGAATCATCATCATCTCCAAAACACTAGCAGCGCACACGTCGATTTTCGAATCCAGCTCTGGCAGTAGACAGAGTTCAAACATTTACACACTTCAGACTAACACCCCTGATCATTCTAGATAGATTAGCGCGCCTCCCAGCCCTGTAGCCCTTCTACAATTCGACGGGGGGGGGGAATTTTAGAGCGAGAAAACCCAAACAAATATCATGGCAAAGCAACCTAACAGCAATGTGTAGCAGCATAGCTGGAAACATTGCCTGCGGTATTCATGTAAGAGTGCTGTTGTAGAATTCGTGTGTTCTCGCAGTCGCATTCGGATTCGCAGTGGCAGTCGCAGTGGCAGCATCAGCGGCAGTCGCAG